GAGTGAGTGAGGGGTCACGGGGAGAGAGTGAGTGAGAGAGGGGTCACGGGGAGAGAGTGAGTGAGAGAGAGGTCATGGGGAGTGTGTCGGTGAGTGAGAGATCACAGGGAGAGAGTGAGTGAGTGGGAGGTCACAGGGAGAGAGTGAGTGAGAGAGAGGTCAGGGGGAGACAGTAAGTGAGACAGGGGTCACGGGGAAAGAGTGAGTGAGTGAAAGCTCACAGGGAGAGAGTGAGTGAGAGAGAGGTCACGGGGAGAGAGTGAGTGAGTGAGAGGTCATGGGGAGAGAGTGACTGAGTGAGTGAGGGGTCACGGGGAGAGAGTGAGTGAGTGAATGAGGGGTCACGGGAAGAGAGTGAGTGAGTGAGAGAGAGGTCATGGGGAGTGTGTGACTGAATGGGAGGTCACGGGGAGAGAGTGAATGAGAGAGAGTTCACGGGGAGTGAGTGAGTGAGTGAGAGCTCACACTGATGGACTGGAATCATGGAGACAGCTCTGTCTCTGTGTAAGGATTGGTTTGAGTTGTGAGAACGTGGTGTGGGACAGTGTCCGAGAGACAGGGAGGCAGTTGGGGTCCATTAGTGTTATGTTGAGGGCTCTGGTTGGATGAATGATGAATAACTGGTCCTTACTGCTCCTGCCCTCCACTGGGCCTTCACTGCCTGATGCCAAAGTCTTGATTTCCTGCTTTTTGGTTTTGACCATGTGCGAGGTGCTCTCTGTGAGTTTGCTGAAGAAGGCAGGAGCCGGGTTCCCGCTGCCCGGAGATGGGCTCCCCATCCTGTGAACACACATCTCAGTTAGTCTCCCGATCAGTTATACTCTCGTACTCATTGGTCAGCCATTCGGCCCCTCCAGCATGCTCAGCCACTCAATAAAACCATGGATGACTGGGTTAGGGCGATATCTCAATGTGTGGCACACTCCGTTGAGGGGTGTATCACACTGATACAAAGTTAACTGGAGACATGTGTCGTCAGAGAGATATAAAATGTTTTCAAGAGGATTTAGACAGGCTTAGTGCATGGGCAAGAACATGTCAGATGGAACATACTGCATAAAAACCGTGAGGTTACCCACTTTGGTAGAAGGAACAGATGTGTAGAGTGTTTTTAAATGGTATGAGGTTAGAAAGTGTTGATGTGCAAAGGGACCTAGGTGTCCTTGTCGATAAGCCACTGAAGGCTAACATGCAGCAGGCTACCGGGACAGTTAAGGGAAAGTTAGCCTTTGTCACAAGAGGATTGGAGTCCAGGAGGAACCAAGTCTTGTTTCAGTTGTAGAGAAGTTTGGTTAGACCATACCTGGAGCACTGTGTGCAGTTCTGGTCTCCTTATCTCAGGGAAGATATTATTGGCATCGAGGAAGTACACTGAAGGTTTATCAGATTTGTTCCTGGGACGGCAGGACTGTCCTATGAGAGACTGGGCAAATTGGGCATGTGTCCTCTATAATCTCAAACAGTGAGAGATGATCTCATTGAAGCTTACAAACTACTGAAAAGGAGAGCCAGGAAAGCTGCAGGTAAAATGTTTCCCTGTGGCTGGGGAGTCAAGAACCAGTGGATGCAATTTAAAGATAAAGGGGATACCACTTAGGCCCGAGATAAAAAGAAATTATTTTATTTGGGGGATTGTGAATCCTTGGAATTCTGTACCACACAGGGCTGTGGAAGGTCTGTCTTTGAGTCTGTTTAAGGCAGATATTGATCGATTTCTGATTCCCAGTGGAGTATGGGGCTATGGAGATGGGGTGGGGAAAGGGCAGTGAAGTGTTTGAGCAGCCGTGATTATACTGAATGGTGGAACAGTCCTAATGGCTTCTGTAACACAGCCTTGAATATATTCACTAACCCAGCCTGCACTGCTCTCTAGGGGAGAGATTTCAACTGGCCATTGCAGGGCAGATATTCCTCCTTGTCTCTGTCGCTGTTGTTTTCAGATGGTAGTTTTTCATTATCCTGTCATTGACTCTCTCCTCTAGACTCAGCTTCTGTTTCTTTAACTCAAATCTCATTACCAGTCCCTTTGTCATTGTCAATTCCTTCACATCCCAGTCTTCAATGAGCATCCCCTCATTCTGTAACAGTGTCCCCTAGTCCACGGTTTCCCAATTAATGGAAATAGCTGCCCAGCATCTACCCTGTCAAGCTCCTTCAGAATCTTATATGGCTCAATAAGATCACCCCTCATTCTTCCAAATTCTAATAAATGAATACTTAACCTGTTTAGCCAATCTTGACAAGTAAACCCCCTTCATCCTGGGAATCAGCCTAGTGAATCTATTTTGAACTGCCTCCAATGCCAGCTTATTGTTAATACAGGGACGAAATGTGTACACAGTAGTCTCATTGGCACACTGTCCCACTGGAACTAGACTTCCCTTAACAACAAACACCAGAATTTCACTTCCTTCCTTAATTACTGCATCCACATTCTAACCTGTTGTGCAAGATCACACAGATCCCTCTGCACTGCATCTTTATCAGATTCTCTCTCGATTTAAACAACAATCTGCCTTTTCATTCTTCCTCCCAAAGTGCTTCACCTCTCATTTTCCTACATTACACTCCATCTGCCAAGTTTTTGTCCAGTCACTCAACTTATCTGTATCCCCATCACGTCCCTGGCACTGAGGACTCTCTATGCCTTAGAGTTCCCTCTCTATTTCAGTATCATGATGCTTTTCTAGTCTTCCTGCCAAGCCAAGAATTTCACATTTGCCACATCACAACTCCATTCACCAAGTTTTTGCCCATTCATGTCACTTCCCAATATACCTTTGCAGACTCACTACCTTCTCTTCACAATGCTCCTTTCTAACTATCTTTGTGTCACAAGCAAATCTAGCAACTGTACACGGGTCCCTTTGCCCCAGACAGTCGTGCAAATGGTTCAGATTCAACTTCCCAGCTCTGATACCTGTGGCACTCCCTGACAACCAGAAAACAATACATTTGTGCACAGCTCTGAGATGTCACCTTGTCAAATCCTGCATCAAACTGAGTGTCCTCATGCCTCAGTGAGTTCTGACATGAAGTTAACTGGGTGAAGGTCAGTGCCCATACCTTTGCTCAGTCTCCGTGTCCCTATACCGTGCAGGAACTGTGAGATTCTCTGACTGTGTCCGGTCTCTCTCTGGGGATCCAGGCTCACTCACAGCCAATGAGACAAGGGACCTTGCTGGCCTGTAAATCAGGATGCATGGTTTATTGCTTTACTGTTCCCACAAACTTGCGGTGAAAACATCCCACAATGTGTTTAAATTAACTTGTCAATAAGTGAGAGCCCCTGAGGCCCTCAAACACAGACGTGACAGCACAGTAAAGGGCTAAATGGCCTACTCCTGCTACAATCTTCCATTTTTGAAACATGGCTAGGGTAACATAGCAGTGAAGAGAATGAGTGAAGACTTTGATAACATGTGGACAAGCAGGATTGAAGATAGCAGCGAACTGAACACAGGCTGAACTACCGACAGCCACACAGTCAGACAGAGTTACCATTCTGAGAGAGGACGGAGTGGGCTGGGAGGGGGGCACTGGGGCAGTCAATTGGACGGCCAATCCATTCTCACCTTTACCATCACACACCCTAGTCCTGGATCAGATCAGAGTAGATCCCAAGTCACGCAGGTTCACCAGCAGTTTCTGAGCTTCCCTCGCTGGCTTCGGGCCTTTGTGTTCCCTCCCCCACGGGGGTGTCCAATCCTAAACCACCAACTGTGCCCAACACAGTGTGAGGATTCACCCACAGAAAATCCACAGAGGGGGATACTCCAGTACAAATCTGTATGGGACAGAGGTAGGTGCTGGGGGCTTGGCTGGGAACCCTATTCCAATGGTGACTCTGGTCAGGTTATATCACTCCCTTACCTTGGGCTGTCTCTGTCCTCTGGTGACTCCAGCATCGTTCTGCCTGGGTGACCATAATGTTGTTGTGGTGTTGAAGCCATCAGCTGTTGGCTGGGATATCTTTGTGAATGCAGACCTGCCTGGCAGCTGAGTTGCTGGGGGTGGTTGCGAGTATAATCCTGAGTGATCACCTCCTGTAAGAAATAAAACCAGAACTAGTTTCTCATTGATAACGCTCTGATACATTAACTATCAGCAAGTGACAGACTTCAGAAGACAAACAACACATTGATACAAAAGCATTCATTTTAAACCTTGTGCTGAAAAGGGATGGGAGTTTATTTCTACAGCAGCAGAGAATGGTAGGAACAGATTTAATTGAGGTTTTGAAATCAGTAAAGAGTTTATGATCGAGTGAAGACAGACAAGCCACTTCCATCGTTGGAGTTAGTGAAGAGTTATGTTACTTACTGCCAAAGGATAAACTAAAAGTCACTGACATCGATTTTTTCACAACTCTTTCAGTAGTTTATATGCAATGCAAGATTTCATCACATATCCAGAAAGATCAGAGACATCAATAAATACGGTCACATGGCAGCTGTTAGACATTCAAATTTCAGAATAAATAAACAGCGGACTTGCATCGATGTGCTGTGCAAGAGTCACAAAGCGTTGCTGTCCCCTGGGGAACTGACTGGGAGAATGCCGGACACTTTCAGGAACATTGTCGAGATGTTGGATTGGACTCTTGGATGCAGCAACTAACCGAGGACCTGTAGACAAAACAGCAATGTTTATCACTCATTTAACAGCAGCTGTACACATATCACAATTACAAAAATGATGAGGAAAGAACATGCCACTTTAGAAACAAAACTGTCCTTGATTTCACACGTTGGCCATACAAAAGATAGAACACAACATCATTAAGGAACAGAAATTAAAAAATAAAAACAAGCAGCACTCCAGAGACTACATTGACACTCACCTAGCAGTCCCGAGGGAGTGGGCACTGTCGGAGGGTCAGTGCTGAGGGAGTTCCGCACTGTCGGAGGGTCAGTGCTGAGGGAGTGGGCACTGTCGGAGGGTCAGTGCTGAGGGAGTGGGCACTGTCGGAGGGTCAGTGCTGAGGGAGTGGGCACTGTAGGAGGGTCAGTGCTGAGGAAGTGCCGTACTGTCGGATGGACCATTTTACAAGTGTGTTTTTAAAGTGAAACCCTGTCTAACCTCCTAGGGCAATGGAAATGACTATGGGCTTTACCAGGAGGTGAGCAGGGGAGTCCTGTCCCAGAAAAACAAAGCGGCAAATGATAATTTAAATGGGAAGCAGATTCAGTTTGTGTCAGTGCAGAGGGATCTGGGTGTCTTTGTGCATGAATCACAGAAGGTGGGTCTGCAGGTGCAGCAGGTAATAAGAAAGGAAATGGAATGGTGGCATTTCTTGCAAAAGGACTGGATTTTAAAGGTAATGTTGTTACAATTATATAAGGTGTTGGTGAAACCGCACCTGGAGTATTGTGTCCATTGTTTGTTTCCTTACTTGGGGAATGATGTAGTGGCACTGAAGGCAGTTCAGGGAAGGTTCACCAGGTTGATTCCAGGAATGGCAGGGCTGTCATAGAGTTGTTGAGCAACCTGGGCTTGTACTCGTTGGTGTTCAGAAGAATGAGGTGGTGGGGGATCTGAGTGTGGTATATAAAAAGCTAAAAGGGATTAGTAAAGTGAACATTGAACAGATGTTCCCCCCGTGTGGGTCAGTCTCGAACCAGAAGGCATAGGTATAGAGTGAGAAACTACTTCCCTCAGAGGGTTGTGAATCTGTGAAACTCACTGTCCCAGAGTGCAGTGGAGGCAGAATCAATCAACAGATTCAAGAAAGAAATAATTATGTTTCTGATGAAAAAATGGAATACAAGACTATGGGGAGCAGGCAGGAGAGTGGATTTGAGACCAGGATAAGATCAGCCATGGTTGTGTTAAATGGTGGAGCGGGCTCTAAGGATTGAATTGCTCCTGCTCCTAATTTCTATGTTCCAACGTCCAGTGTGCAACCTCCTGAACAATATTCATCCTTTGATCAGTATCACTAAAAGAGATTGTCGTCTCATTTTCATTGACTTTGAAAGTTCTTCATTTGCTGCAGTGTGACTTCTCGTTAAACCAGACCAGGTGATCAATGGCTGTAAAGTTCATAATTTTCTGACTCTAGGTGAGGTGGGTTTTGCTTGTGACCCTGTGCCTAGTCTCTGCCCTGAACATGTTCGGAGCCATCGCAATGAAGTTAAAGGTGGAGTTGAAGAATCTGGGCAGATTGTCCTTGAGATGGGATCATTGGTAGTCGTGGTGCTGGGTCTCCTCTGAGCTGGGATCTTACAGTCGAAAAAAGCAGTCATTTCAGCTTTGCTGTTGGGTCTAACTCAATTAGCTGAATCACTGGCCAAATTGACCAGGTCAGGAACCACACAGAAAGATCGTTCCTTCCAAAAGTGATTGGTATGACAAGCAGCATGTGCCTGTGATGCAGATTGTGTCACAGTGTAATCCAGATTGTGTTTGTTTTTGTGTTCAGGGCCCTGTCTCCCAGACCTCATTTGTTAAACCTGACCTGTGATGAGCGGATGCACTGTGACCCCCAGAAGCTACTGGAAGTCAAGAAGCCAGAGAACGTGGCCACAAACATCCTGAACCTGGTGAGTGTGTGTGAGCACAGCAATACTGGCATGACGTGCCGCCACCCCCCAAAAACATCATCTTATCTGAATCTGAGACTGTGGCTGCAGGGAAATACAGGAGTCAGTTGTCAAGGATATGCTGACAGGAAACTTAGTAAATACCAACGGAATGACACAAACATAAGTTTATGAAGGGAATTTACTTTGACAAACTGACTGGAGTATTTTGAGGATGCAGCTCGCAGATTAGATAAGGAAGAACTGAGGATGTGGTGTATTTCGATTTTCAGAAAGCTTCTGATAAAGTCCCATTTAAGAGATTGGAGTGCAAATTCAAGCACACGGGATTGGAGGTATGTACTGACATCAATTGGGAATTGTTTTGCCAACAGGGAGCAGAGATTTGGAATTACTGGGAATTTTACAAAGTGCAAGGTGGTGACCAGTGGGGTAGCCCAGGTTCGGAGCTTGGGACCCGGCTATTCACAATATAGATCCACAACTTGGATGAAGGAATTGAGTGCAATATTTCCAAGTTTCCTGATGACACAAAGCTAGATAGAGGTGATGAGAAGGATATAAAGGCACTTCATGGTGATTTAGAACAAAATGAGAGAGTGAGCAAATACACACAGATGCAGTAAAATGTGGATAAACGTGACATTGTCCACTTTGGTAGGAAAAATAGAACGGCTAAGTATTATTTAAAAGGTAATAGATTGGGAAAGGCTGATGTACAGAGGGTTTGGGTGTCCTTGTAACCACTGAAGGTAAGAAAGCAGCTGCAGCAAGCAGTTAACAAGACAAATGGTATGATAGCCTTCACTGCAAAAGTGTTTGAATGTAGGAACCAGGATGGTTTACTGTATCTGGATTACTGTGTGCTTGTTTGGTCTCCTTACCTAAGAAAAGGTATATTTGCTCTAGAGAGAGTGGAAGGAACAGTAATCACAATCATTCCTGCTGTATGACGAGAGATTGGTTCACCTAGATCCACTGGAGTTTAGAGCAATGAGAGGGATCGCACTGAAATGTATAAAACTCTGACAGGGCTGGATAGTCTGGCTGTAGGAGTGATGCTTCCCCTGACCATGGAGTTTCAAGCAAGAGATCACTGTTTCAGGATATATGGGAAGCAATTTCAGACTGAGGTGAGGAGAAATCTCTTCGTTCAGAGGGTAGTGAACCTGTGGAATTCTCTATCACAGCAGGCGGTGGAGGTGAGGTCACTGAGTATATTTCAGACAGAAGTAGATATCAAGACTAAAGGTGTCAAGGGTATGGGGAAAGAGTAGGGGTATACTGTCAAGGTGGAGGATCAGCCAAGATCATGTTAAATGGCAGAGCAGAGTTAAAGAGCTGAATGGGCTATTCCTTGTTTCTGTGTCTCTGCATTTCAGCTGCCCATGTCATAAGTCACAAATTCCTGTTGTCCTCTCAGCCACTATGCTCACTGACCTGTCCGACAATGCCTTGATTTTAAAACTCCGACCTGTTTTTAAATCTTTGCCATCTCTCCTCCAGCCTCATAACTCTCTGCCATCTTTGCACTCCTCAAATTCTGGCCAATTGTTCATCTCCTGACTTTATTCCCTCCCCTCAGGAGTCACGGACCTCCTGTTTGGAAATCCTCTTTGAAAAATCCCTATCACTCTCCACTCCTCTAATTCACTCCTTAATGCCTCCCCATTGGTCCATGTTTTTGGTCACTTTCCTTAATCTCTCCTTACCTGGCTCAGTACCAAGTTGCTTGCTAGTGCTCCTGTGAAATATTTTAGGGAGTTTCAGATTATTTTTACCCTTTGGTCTCTGTCACCTGGACTGTGGGGACAGTTGATGGAACAGCCCTCACTTTGCTGAATTCGGCACTCCCTTACCCACACCCAGTCGGGGCCTACCCTTGTGGGAGTGTTGTCATCAGCTGGGGGAGTTCCTGCTGGGAAGGTGTTTCCCAATCCCAGTCACTGTCAAATCCCATCGATGGTAAAGAGGCAGGAGCCCAGCTTTGAAAGAGCTTCAGCTGGATTGACCATCACCAGCTGGGATTAATACCTAATTGTAAAGTGATACTTGAAAACAGAACCAGCTTCTCAAGTGATCTCAGGGTCAGAGTTCATTCAGGATCAAGTGACCTCAGGGTCAGAGATCATCCTGGATCGAGTGACCTCAGTGTCAGATCATCCTGGATGGAGTCACCTCAGGGTCAGAGATCATTCTGGATTGAGTGATCTCAGGGTCAGAGATTGTTCTGGATTGAGTGACCTCAGGGTCAGAGATTGTTCTGAATTGAATGTCCATGGGATCAACATAGAACAAAATAGATTGTTGTTCTATGTTGATCCTTCTGCTCCTGTCTGATTACACACACTTGATTCAAAAGCTGTGTTGTTTATGTTTGTTTGTCGGACCAATGAGAAGAATTATTGAATAATAAGCTGTTAAATCCATTGAAACCAATGTTAGGAAAAGTTCTGGGCTTAAATTTGGATTGAGGCCATTGACTCTGATGAAAATTCCCATTTCCCAGAAGTTGTGACTCTTTCCTGTCATTGGGTCATGAATCATCTTGTGAAGTGGTGAGAATTTTTTCATCCCCTGAACGTCTGTTTAATGCAATGATCGGATTATTTTAGTAGAAGATAGTTTGGTGCTGACAGCCACAGTCTCTGTTTCTGCCGTGCTGTTCTCATTGACCAGTTCCTCACCGTCGTCCTCTCTGAGGAACAATTTCTCATTTGGTTCCGCGCTGTCTGTGTCATCATTTAGCAGAGAGCGATCTTATCTCTCGCTCCCTGCCTCCAATCCCATTATCCACACTGAGGCTGATCTAATAACCACCATAGAACAGTAGGAACCAATATGGCCATATGCTCGCTGTCTACATGAACCGCTGCCTTAGCCCCATGCACCCACCTTTTCCCTGTAGCCCTGTACATCTTTTTGCTTCACATAATGCACCTGCAAGTTCCCCTCCAAGCCCCTCCCCATCCTGAGTTGGAAATATATCGCCGTTCCTTCAGCGTTACTGGGTCAAAATCCTGGAATTCCCTCCCTAATGGCATTGGGAGTCAACCTACAGCATGTAGACTGCAGCAGATCAAGAAGGTAACTCACCACCACCTTCCCAAGGGGCAACTAGGGACAGGCAATAAATGCTGAACCAGCCAATGATGCCTAGGTTCCATGAGTGAATGATTTAAAAAGAAATAATTAAATCTCCTCTGGGGCAGTATATCTCTGATCCGAATCATTGCTACATGAAACAGCTTGTCCTCCTGTCTCCATTGCCTACTTCATCTTAAATCTTTGCTCTCCGATTCTGGCTCCTTCACTCTCTCAACACTTCCAACCAGCTCTCTCATGATTTTGGAAGCTTCTATCAATATTTCTTCATAACCATCTCTTCTCCAAGGAGAACCGTCCCAATCTCTCCAATCTATCTTCATTGCTGAAGTACCTCATATCTGGAATCATTCACATGAATCTTTTCTATATCCTGTCTAATGCCTTCGCTATGTGGGCATAGTTATGCTCTGCATTAGCCAAAGTCCTGGATGCACAGCACATGCTGTTGAGCGTTCCCCTCCATTGGGCCAACTATGACCTAATACTACCCCAATGCCATAGGAGGAGGCATCAGAAGTCAATACCAGATCACACTTGGACTCATTGTATAACATCTTAGAGGATGATAGCTGTTTCTTCTCTCCCCTGAAAGCTATGGCTTGGCTATGTGACCATTTCTGAGACAGACCCTATTTTAAGAGTTGATGCAGAGGTGCCAGGATGCAGGCCAGGTTATGTACGAACTTCCTGTAATAATTCACCAGCCCAAGGAAAAAGCTAAACTCCAGTACAGATGTGGGAGCTGGGGCATCTTTCATTGCTCTCACTTTATCTTCCAATGGGTGTAACCCAGCCTTGTCGACTGTGCAACCCAAGTAGGTCACTTGGGAGCCTGGAACACACATGTTTCCTTTCTAAGGTGGACACCACCTGGAATAAATATCTAAGAGACTATGTTCAAGTTCCCTAAGGGCTCCTTATTGGTCTTCCCTGTTATTAGCACGTCATCTAAATAAATGGTGACCTGGGGTAAACCATGTAAAATGTTCTCCATCATCCGCTGAAAATTGCACAGGCTGATGATACAGGAAAAGGCAGTCTTCTGTATTGGTACAAACCCTTATGGGCATTAATTGTAGCATACTTCTGGGAATTCCGATCTAACTGCAATTGCAAGTATGCAGAGTTCATGCCCAGCTTTGTGAAGGACAGCACCCTCCCACCCCCCACGACAGTTTTGTGTGTAAATCCTCTATGCGAGGGATTGAGTATTTACCCAGTCGCAAAAAGCGATTTACTATTTGTTTAAAATCCCCACAAAGTCAACCCGATCTGTTGGGCTCCACAATCGATGCAACAATCAATGCACAAACTGGACTCATTCGATGATTCCTTCGCTTTCCAGCCTTCTGTTTTCTGCCTTTGCTTTTGTGTAAGGCAAATGGCCCATCACGTCCCCATTGACCTTCCGAAGAGCATCCCACCCAGACCCAGCCCATCCCTGTAACCCTGAATTTCCCATGGCTGATCTACCCAGCCTGCATGTCCCCAGACACTGTAGATAATTTAGTATGGCCAATCCATCTAACCTGTAACATAGTTACATCATTAATCCCACTCTCGTTGCCACTGAAATAACTCCACAGAGGCCGGTATCCTGTCACCAAGTCACTCTTTTTACACATGGAGAGTCTGTGACACTGACCCAGCTCCCTCAGAACCAGCTCTCAGAGCGAACAGAACCCCTGACAGTCCTGTTTATATCTGTCAGCCAGGGCTCCCTATTAGACCAGGTTAATAGCCCCAATCAGGGAACTCATATTCTGTGAGGTCCAGCTGGCTGACCTTATTACAGTCAGTATTGGCATGGATTGAAGATTGGCTGGCAGAAAATGGGGTGTATGCATAAATGGATCCTTTTCTGATTGGCAGGATACAAGTGAAATCCTGCAGGGATCTGTGCTGGGACTGCAACTTTATACTGTTTACATCAATGACTTAGACAAGGGAGCAAAGGCATGCTGGCTAAACACAACAAAAAAAAATCAGAAAGTCTATGTTGTGAAGAAGACATAAGGGAGATGCAGATAGATAGCGATAGGTTGATAAGTGGTCAAAAAGGTGATACCTGGGGAATGATCAAAGAAAGTGTAAAGTTATGCACTTTGGCAGGAAGAATAAATCACATGCATAGGGAGCTGGCTGTTCTAGTGCATGAGTTAGAAAATGTTAGTAAGCAGACCAGCTAGTAATCAAAATTAGTTGCAGTCCTTTAATAAAACAGGAATTGGACATAAAACCAAGAAAATTATGCTGCAGTTATGCAGGACATTGGCGAGACCACATCTCGAATATGGTGTGCAGTTTTGGTCTCTGTATTTAAGGAAGGGGGTCAGTGCAGTGAAGGCAGCTCAGGCGAGGTTAACTGGACTGAGAGCTGGAGTAAGCAGCTTGTTGCTGTGGAAAGGTTGGACACGATGGGCTTGTAGACATGAGTGACAGGTGACCGGTGACTTGATTGAAGTGTATTAGATCCTGAATGGCCTTGACAAGGCTGACGTGGAAATGAGGTTTCCTGTTGTGGACAGTCCAGAACTAAGGGGCACTGTTTTAAAATTAGGGGTTGCCTTTTAGTACAGGGGTGAGCAAAAACTTACTGTGGGTCTGGAGTCACATGGAGGCCAGACCAGGTACAACAGATGTTACAACATACAACAGTTGGTCACATTGACGCAATGATACCATTAAATTCCTGAATTTACTGAATTCAGATTTCACCAGTTGTCATGGTGCATTAACCTGGGCCTCCTAATCCAGTGACATTACCACTACACCACCACATCCCACAATGTATAGTTTTAGTAAAATCTCCTGACTTTTATACTCCATTCCCTTTGACATAAAGGCCAACGTTCCATTTGCCTTCCCCATTACTCACTGAACAAGGGTGCTAGTTTGTTTTAATGTATGTGTGAGGGTTCCCAAATCCCTCCACATTCTGCAGTCTGTCTCCATTTAAACCATACTTGGCTCCTTTATTGTTCCTGCCCAAGTACAGAATCTCACAGTTCCCTGCATTATATTCCACTTGCCTATTCGCTTAAACTAGCAACTTGCAGCACATGCAGCCAACCCAGTGCTTTTCAGTTTAAAAAGCTGTAAGTGAGTAACTTACTTCCTCTTGACCTGGAGCCTGTTGGCATCTTCCTCATCACCCCGTTCTCTGAGGGCAGTTAGGGTTCGGGCTTAATGCTGTCCAAATCCATAAGTGCCTTCCCTGGTAGTGTAGAAGTTAGGATTTGGTGTTCTCGCTACTGCAGTCTGGGTTCGATTTTTGGGTGGCACAGTGGCTCAGTGGTTAGCACTGCTGCGTCACAGCACCAGGGACCCGGGTTCGATTCCACCCTCGGGCGACCGTCTGTGTGGAGTTTGCACGTTCTCCCTGTGTCTGCGTGGGTTTCGGCCGAGTGCTCTGGTTTCCTCCCACAATCCAAAGATGTGCGGGTTAGGTGGATTGGCCATGCTAAATTGCCCATAGTGTTCAGGGATGTGCAGGTTGGGTGGGTTAGCCATGGGAAATGCAGGGTTTCAGGGATAAGTAGGGGGTTGGCTCTGGGTGGAATGCTCTTCGGAGGATCATTGTGGACCCATTGGGCCGAACGGCCTGCTTTCACACTTTACGGATTCTATGAACGAGTTAAAAGTGAAACAGATTCTGACTATTCGTTAAATAACTCAGCCATGCCCCCAGTCTCTGTGTGTAAATCCCTGTTTGGTCCCCATGTGGCCTGTCTACTCCATTGATCACCTTGTTACTGTTTATAAGCTGGTGGAAGACATTTGGATTGTGTCTTGTCTTAGCTACCAGTCTCTTCTCATGTCCTCTCTTTGCATTTCTTGTCTTGTTTGCCAGGATCACCATGTCAGGATAACATTGGATAATCTTTTCCTGACTGTTTATTATGTCTAGAAGTTTGATTTTAGAAGCATTTCCCTGAGAGAACATAAACAATGAAACCTGAATACCACTCTCTCACCCAGCCTTTACTTTTCCAGACCTCCACACTGTATGAGGTACCCCAGGACGATGGGAGGTGGAAGAACCATCAGAAGCTGCTCCACTTGGAAAGAGAGAGCTGGGAGCGATCCAGTCCTCTGAACAGAAACAAGACCCTGGCCAAAGATGTTTCTGGTAAGTGTAAACTCCAATAGGTCAGTAGGCTGCCTGAAATCGATAGCTGCAGAATCTAAACGACTCTCTGTTCCTGAATACCGTTCAGTACAGTTATTTTACACACTGTATTCACCTGTAGCTCATGTCTCGTACTGAGGGAGCGCAGCACTGTCGGAGGGCCAGTGCTGAGGGAATGCCGCAGTGTCAGAGGGTCAATGCTGAGGGGGCGCCGCCCTGTCGGAGGGTCAGTGCTGAGGGAGTGCCGCACTGTCGGAGGGTCAGTGCTGAGGGAGTGCGGCACTGTCGGAGGGTCAGTGCTGAGGGAGTGCCGCACTGTCGGAGGGTCAGTGCTGAGGGAGTGCCGCACCACTGTCACCATTCGGTCCCTCTGCCATGAACTCTCAGTCACAGCAGTGTGTACTGTCTGCAGTAGCTCACCAAGGCTCCTTTGGCAGCATCTTCCAAACCCAGCACCTCTGCCCCTAGCGCACGTTGCATTACAGCGGCCTCCTCCCTCAGACGCACTGTAGTCTCCACATGGGTTTGATTCTGAGATGTCTCAGGGTGGTTGTGAGTCTGACGATGATGCTGGAACTGACTCTCACTCTTATTGGAATATTGTAAGCTGTCATCTCCTTCCTTCGGGAATGATAAAATCCCTACAGTATGGAAGCAGGCCATTCGGCCCATCAAGTTTTCACTGACCCTCTGATGAGCATCCCTCCCAGAACCCCCCACCCCAAACATCCCTGTAATCCCATATTTATGTTGGCTAACCCACCTATGCTCCTCATCCCTAGAGACTATGGGCTATTTAGCATGGACAATTTACCTAACTTGCACATCTTTGGACTGTGGGAGGAAACCAGAGCACCCGGAGGTAACCCACCGCAGACACAGGGAGAATGTGCAAACTCCACATAGACAGATATCTGAGAGTGGAATTGAACCCGGGTCCCTGGCGCTGTGAACCACTGAACCACCGTGCCGCCCCAGTGTTGGGGTGAGCTGCCATATCGAACCACAGTAGACCATGTGCTGTATGTAGACCCACAATGTCCTTAGGGAGGGAATTCCAGGATTTTGACCCAGAATGGTGAGGGTTGGGAAGCTTTCAAAATCCTCTAGTCTTTATTGAAGTGAGACATCACTGTGCTAACGTAAGCCTGAAAACTGTACACCTCCTGTTTCTGACTGCCTTATTTAATTATTGTTCCTCATTTCAGGATTCCAGCTGAGTCACCAAGGCCCAGTCAGTGTGGATGAGGGGAACCAACCATCCCGATCAGAGCGAACACATTACATCCCAGGGCCCCCACCCCTCATTCCAACATCCAGGCATCAGACTGGAGCTGAACGACAAGACCCCATCACTCAGGTAGGGGGCTCATTGTGAGGGCGGGGAAGGTATGATCTCCCCAAGGATAGGGGGCTGGCATTGTGAGGGAGGATGTCAATCCCTAGGACAGGGGCTCGGATTGTGGTTGGTGGGGAGCGGGGAGGGTTAGTGACCCCAAGGACAGGGACCAGGATTGTGGTGTTGTGGGGGGTGGGGAGCAGGGGGGTAGTGACCCCAAGGGCGGGGCCAGAGATCTTTGGTGGCGGGTCACCCTAATGGGGTTGGCATCATGATGTCCCATTGTAAAGGGCAGGAATGGTTCTGTCCTGGGCCGAGGGGTTTAGTTCCATCTGTTTGTGACTCTCTCTCTCTCTCTCTCTCCCTCTCTCTCTCTCTCTCTCTCTCTCTCTCTCTCTCTCTCTCTCCCCCTCTGTCCTTTCCCAGGGAGCTGCAATCCCACTGCTCAGCACAGCTGCCTATGTGCCAGAGCGTGGGCAGGGTCATCTGGGGGCAGTGCCCGTTCACCTGCAGTGGTCAGTGGATCCAGCCAGAGGCGGTAGGTGCCGGGAATGAAAGGGCTGACCCGATGGAATTGGAAACAGGAAACGTACAGCAAGAGGATTCTGTGTCAATCATAGCTGCTTGGTTACAATGGCCTTTCAGCCCCTCCATCCTGTCCCAGAGGATAGGGGCATTTAGCTCCAAAGTCCTGTTCCAAGGAGAGGGGGGGAGCAGTTAGCCCCTACGTTCTGTTTCACAGGAACAGGAGGAGCCCATTCAGCTGTATAAGACCTCTTCCAACATTAATTCAATGTTACCTGATTTTTGTCTCATTTCCATTTACCCATCTTTGCTCCATGCCCTAATGCACCTTAGCTAACAAAAACATCACATCATCTCAGTTTTAGAATAAGCAATTGACGCTGCGATATTTGGGACAGGGAGTGTTCCCAATTCCCACACCCAGTTTGAGTGAGGAAATGCACCACTCTTATTGTAGACACATTCCCACTCCACTCCGAACAGCATCCATACAAATTGCACATTGTTGAGGTCCCAGTGGACCCTCTGGGGGGAGGATCAGTCAGACACCCCGGTGAAGAACAGATCCATTAACCTCACTCTCTGCTTTGCTACAACAAAGCCAAACTGAACCCTGTTCAGATCCAAACTGTTCACAAACTCAACTCCTCCAAACAGCATCAGGCAATAACTAGCCCAACCCGACAGGAATCTATCAGCTCCACGTTTCACTGTTAGCTCTCTCACCCCGCAATTACTCAGTGACATTAGAACATTTCAGTCAAAAGGATAAATTCTCAAATCAGTAGAGCTTTCAATGACTTTGCGATATCAGTTACTGTGGCCTATTGGGAAACTCACTGGGTTAACGAGTTACTGTGGCTTTTGAGGTAAATTTGAGATAATATTCAATCCAAGGAGGAGGGATACAAATTGGAGGACCTGAGGAGTGAGAGCAGTTAGAATTCAGCAAAGGAGGAAAACAGAGTACAAGACTAAGATAACAAGGTGTAGAGCTGGATGAACACAGCAGGCCAAGCAGCATCAGAGGAGCAGGAAAGCTGACGTTTTGGGCCTGGACCCTTCTTCAGAAAAAATTAAGACTAAGCTTGTGGGGAACATTAAAACTGACTGTAAAAACTTTTAGAAGTGTGTGAAGGGAAAAAGATTGGTGAAGACACATGTCAGTCCCCCACAGTCAGAAACTGGGGAGTTTATAATGGGGAAGAAATGGCTCACAATTAAAATGGTTCTGTGTTCACAAATAACATCCCAGAAATGTTGGGAGACACAGGGTTTAGTGAGAGGGAGGAAGTGAAGGAAATGAGTGTGAATAGAGAGATGTTGTTGAGGAAATTGGTGGGAATGAAGGCTGATAATTGAATAAGACCTCAGTGAGACCACACCTGGAGGATTGTGTGTAGTTCTGGCCTCCTTATGTGAGGAAGAATGTTGTTGCTGTAGAGGAAGTGTAGTGAAGGTCGACCAGACTGATTCCAGGGATGTGAGGACTGATGTATGAGGAGAGGTTGAATTGGTTAGGACTGTATTCACTGGAGTTGAGAAGAATGAGGGAGGTTCTGACAGAAACCTATAAAATTCTAACAGGACTAGACAGGGTTGATGCAGGAAGGACGTTCCCAATGGTGCAGTGAATCCAGGCAGTGGCTCACAGTTTAAGGACACGCGGGTAGGCCATTTAGGACTGAGATGAGGAGAAATGTCTTCATCCAGAGAGTGGGTGTCTGTAGAATTCTCTACCACAGAAAGCAGTTAAGGCCAAAACATAAAATGTTTTCAAGAAGGACTTTGGTATAGTTCTTAGGACTACAGGGATCAAAGAGTCTGGGATAAAAGTGAGAACAGGGTACTGAGCTGGATGATCAGCCATGTTCATATTGAATGGCAGAGCAGACTTGAAGGGCTGAATGGCCTACTCCTGCTCCTAGTTTCTATGGCTCTGTGATTACCAGGAGAATCGGTGGGTCAGTGTATTCCTGTGGGTCAGTGTGTCACTGTGGGTCAGTGAGAGTGTCGGTGGGTCACTGTGTTACTGTGGGTCAGTGAGAGAGTCGGTGGGTCAGTGAGAGAGTCGTTGGGTCACTGTGTTACTGTGGATCAATGAGAGAGTCGGTGGGTCAGTGTGTTACTGTGGGTCAGTGTGTTACTGTGGGTCAGTG